GACTCAGTATGAATTTTTCCATGCAATTTCAAACTACCCTTCTCAGTGAACGATTTAGAGCAGATTTCACATTGAAATGGTTTGTCGCCAGTATGAATTTTTTCATGTCTTTTCAATTGATTTCCTTGAAAGAATGATTTATAGCAGATTTTACACTTGAATGGTTTAACGCCAGTATGAATTTGTTCATGTTTTCTCAAATTACAAGCAACAACCAAAAAAATAAAAAATTGAAATATTAATGAAAGCTGAAAATTAAAAAAAATATTATTAACAAAAAATGAATATTAAAAGATTCCAAGTTACATCACGACATTCCAATTGTTAGGGTCAATCGTCTTAGGGTGATAACTGGGCATTACAGATATTTCATTAAAATGTTGAAAATTATATAAACATTTACTTATGAAGAGGAGTAAAAAATATTTCCATATATGTGATGGAAATGGATGAAAATTCATTATAGTGTATCTACAGTTTACAAAACAATAACACATATACTAGTATAGAATAGCTTCTTCTGGCTTGTTAGTACTAACATCTACATTCAACCTGAAAGGTAGCTATTTCAGGACATTGAAGAACATAACAGATATATTATATAAGTTGTTCTTTTTCAACAATGTTTTATTTTCCTATTGCACTTAGTAATGAAATGCTTTTTATCCATTATGAATTTTTGAATGCAATTTTAAATTATTATTTCGACTGAAATATTTAGAACTGAATTCATTTTAAAAAGGCTTTTTGTCAGTATACTTTTTTCATGTATTTTCAGATACTTATTTCCACTAAATGACTTTGAACAAATTATCCATTGAAATGGCTACTTTTCTCAATGAACGATTTAGAGCAGACTTTATACTTGAATGATTTGTCGCCAATATTATTTTATTAATGTCTTTTCAATCTACCATTTTGATTGAAACATTTAGATCAGATTTTACATTGAAATAGTTTATCGTCAGTATGACTTTTTTCATGTGTTTTCAGTGACCCACTGTAACGGAATGATTTAGAACAGATTTTACACTGAAATGGTTTTTCACCAGTATGAATTTTTCCATGCAATTTAGTCTATTCAAATCACCTCCTCGAATGAATGATTTAGAGCAGACTGTACACTTTAACAATTTATCGCCAGTATGAATTTTTTCATGCATTTTCAAAATACTTTTTTCAGTGAACGATTTAGAGCAGATTTTACATTGAAATGGTCTGTCGCCAGAATGAATTTTTTTATGCATTTTCAAACTACGTTCCTCAGTAAACGATTTAAGGCAGATTTTACATTGAAATAGTTTATCACCATTATGACTTTTTTCATGTATTTTCAAATGACCTCCTTGAATGAATGATTCAGAGCAGATTTTACACTTAAACAGTTTATCGCCAGTATGAATTTTTTCATGTCTTTTCAAATTACCATTCAGGTTGAATGATTTAGAACAGATTTTACACTGAAATGGTTTTTCGCCAGTATGAATTGTTCCATGCAATTTCAAACTACCCTTCTCAGTGAACGATTTAGAGCAGATTTCACATTGAAATGGTTTGTCGCCAGTATGAATTTTTTCATGTCTTTTCAATTGACTTCCTTGAAAGAATGATTTACAGCAGATTTTACACTTGAATGGTTCAACGCCAGTATGAATTTGTTCATGTTTTCTCAAATTATCCCCATCAATGAATGATTTAGAGCAGATTTTACACTTGAATCGTTTATCACCCCTATGAGATTTTTCATGTCTGCTCAAATTAAATCGATGAATGAATGATTTAGAGCAGATTGTACACTGAAATGGTTTATCGCCAGTATGAATTTTTTCATGTCTATTTAAATCACCTCCTTGAATGAATGATTTAGAGCAGACTCTACACTTGAACGGTTTATCGCCAGTATGAATTTTTTCATGCATTTTCAAAATACTTTTCTCAGTGAACGATTTAGAGCAGATTTTACATTGAAATGGTCTGTCGCCAGAATGAATTTTTTCATGCATTTTCAAACTACGTTCCTCAGTAAACGATTTAGGGCAGATTTTACATCGAAATGGTTTATAGCCATCATGACTTTTTTCATGTCTTTTCAAATGACCTCCTTGAATGAATGATTCTGAGCAGATTTTACACTTGAATAGTTTATCGCTAGTATGAATTTTTTCATGCGTTTTCAAGTTACCCCTCTCATTGAAGGATTTAGAGCAAATTTTACAGTGAAATGGTTTAGAGTCAAAATTATTTATTTTGCGACTTTTTGAATGACTACTTCCAAAGGATGACTTTGTGAAAATTTTATGATGAAGTGGGAGCTTCCCCGTATGCTGATTTTCAACAGATATCACATCAGTTCTTTCTTTCATATTTCTTGAGCTAATTTCGATTTCTTCACGAATTCTACTCTCTCTAATTGAATTGGAATAGTATCCAGAACTGAATATTTCCTTCATCTCTTTCAAATTTTCATTGATAATTTCCTCTTTATTTCCAACCACTGTCTCTTCCTTGGTTTCAAAACAAAATATTTCGGGATCTGTAAAAAAAT